TTGTGAGCTTCAATAATTTTTTGGTGTTGAAATAATATATAGTAATATAAATAATAATAAATAATTTATACTGTTTGACTTAAAGTTTGAAAAAAACTAACATAAATAAAATTTTCACAAGGTTCATCGAGTTCTTTTTTAAACTCACAAGTCTCAGATTGCACCACAAACGTTCCCAAAAGAAAAGGATCGTTAAAAATCGAATGATGTAAAATATTATTTGGAGTGCTCTCTTGATTGACAGTAGTTGATAGTTACCTGTGCAATACATTATAAGCAAACATCTTTTGAGATGATTTTTTGTGGAACTCTACAGGTTTTTTTAATAATCCATCAGACTTGATTGTCACTTTGCTTCCCTTTTTTTCCTTGGGCTTTTTTTTTTTACTTTTTTTCTGTTTCTAATTTTTTACTTTTATTCATGTTGAACTCTTCAATGTAAGCATCACTTGTGACAGTCGCCGCAGCTCCTCGTTTTCTACGCGCAAGAGTCTTTGTCGGCTGATTTTCAATGCTGTCAAAAAAAAATTTTTTTCATTGGCATTGTCACTTATACTTTCATTTCAAGCTACAGTTAACTTATCCTGACTTACATGTTTATCAACAGCTGTTTGTTAAAATAATTTTTTATTAAGTAGCTTTAAGAAGTAATATAATATTTTTGATACAAGAGAGAGAAACTTCCACTGTTGGCTCTACTGGTGAACAAATCTTCCATGTAGGCTTAGTAACGGTTGATGATACATGATGCACATGCATCGTACTAACATCGAAATTTGAGGATGAATTTGTACAATGATTATTAGATTTATTGCTGCCAATAGACTTACTCATAATGGTATCAATTGTTTCTTTATACAAAGAGACGTTACAGGAATTTATAATTAAAAACTACCATCAATTTAAGGAGGCTTAATCCTTCGCTATAATCTATGCGACGCTGTCTATAGTTTGGTATGTCGTCTGTCTTTCTCGCTCTCCTGTGACAGCATAACGTTTTGTAGTTTTTACCTTGCTTATTAATTAATTTTTTCTCTCACAAGGACCCTCGAGATGTCCAATGAAATTGAATATGATCATTAGATATTTTTTAATCATTGATAAAATTTTTATCTAAAGTTTATTGTTAATAAGTGAGGTAAGTGCAATAGAAGCGCTTAAAAGGACGAGAGCTCATCAGCCTACATGTAAAAATTAGCTTAATATGAATATTAATTACTCGGCTCCTAGGAACCCCTGTGCTTTAAATTTTTACAGTGCCATTTTAATGACTTTATTTATTTGTTAATAAATTTTTGTAACCGATTGAACTCCCTTAAAAAACAAAGAAAAAAATTTTTTATTTATATTATCAAAATATTTACCCGAATCATAAATGGATTCTGGAATATCAGAAAAGTAAGAATTAAAAGCTGAATCATTGTATGGTTAAATACTGGTTCTCTTAAAAGCATTGAAGGCCATGTCTATTTTACATACTTTTTGCCAAGCTTTGCCACATATTCCAAACACATCTTTCATCTGAACTTGGGAAGGACTTCGCTGAAACTTGTTCACCTCCTCCGCATAATAATAATTCAATGGCCTTATACAACCCACGTCAAGTAGTTGCATTCGATGAGTGCAATGTGGTGGAAAGCACAGAACAATGACATCTTTCTCTTTGCCTAATTCTGTCCCTTCAAGATTTTTGACATAAGAGCAGTGTCCATCCAAAAATAACAACACTGGATTTTCTGGAGATGCTTTTAAAAATTTAATAAATTTAATAATCCATTGAGTGAAAACATCAGTTTCCATCCAACCACTTTTCCGGAAAACAGCCCAAGATCCTTCTGATTTATCATTCAAAAACAAGTCGTTTTGCTTAACGTGAGAAAAAATGAGCATCGCAGGCATGAAAGTACCTGCTGCAGATATACATAACTCTGCAGTGACAGTCTCACCTCGCTTAGCAGATATTTTTCTTCGACCTGACATCTTCCTCTTTTGGCAATGACTCTCATATCAGACTTTGGCACAATTTAAATACCAGTCTCATGGACATTCCAAATGTTCATAGCACTGATGTTATACTTTTATAAAACTTCTTTTAGAAGTAAGAGAAACTCATCAATACTGTATTTATTAAATCCATTAGCACTAGCTGCAGATATTGGCTGAGCTTTTCTATTAGAAAGCTCATGACTTTTCATGAAACAGTGTAGCTAATCTTTTCCTGCGAGACCTGAAAAGTAATGTAAAAATGAAAATATTCTTAGATTTTCAAGACATATTATTGGCAGAGATAAATTGTTGATGTTTTATTTGGTATATTACCAGTTTCTGAGTTAAAAAGATGTGTTACACAAAGCTTAGTGGCAAAATCGTAAGCTAGTTGTCTGAATTCAATTGATGACAGCCTCATCAATCTTTTTTTTATCACTTTTTACACTTAGGTTTTTTTATTTTTCTTTCAAGGGTCGTTCTAGGTACACCGAACTTAGTAGCAAAACTTTTTATAGATTTACCGCTGTATACGAAATTAATAGCCAATTGCAACTAATCATCAGTCCACCCTCTTCTCTCACTTTTTCATTTGTCAGTACAAACTGTCCTACTTATTGAAATACTGTTACAAGTTGCAAAAAAGCACAGTCTTCGAAAATAAGAAGTTGGGTTAGGAGAGCGCAAACAATCGGCTTGAAACTATAGCTGCCACTAGTCACTGTGCTCATCCTGCCCTTCCCGTTGATGTCCAGCCTGCCCTCATCATATAACTTTTTAGTTTCAACATAACTTTTATTCTGCATGCTGTAGGATATTATTTCGAGTAGCTGATAAGATCGATGATTTTGAATAATTATAATCCCTTAATTATTAGTTCTTCAGTCAAAAAGTTTTTGAGGATTAAAGCTATACTATTAATTAACAAGAAAAAAAATCTATTGACTGAAAGTTATTTATTTGATTCTAATACAGGGTGACAAATTTACCCATTGAACCTACTCTTTCCCTCTTTCCCTTACATGCTCTTACATGCCTACTCGAAATACTATGTTAATTCTATCTGCTACATGCCTCCAGTTCTGGTTACCAGTACACCATACACTGTTTTTCTGCAAATGAAATAATTGATGATTAGCAATAGGCAGCATCTTATATTTCTGTGTAGTACAGCCAAAAATGATAAACTAGTCCATATTTAAAAGTAAAAAAATAAAACAATGTGGAAAAACACCTATTTATTGAGGCTCTTTTGGATAAGGGCCAAGAGGCTGTAATATCCCCATAAATAGAATCGAACGTTTTTCTTTATCACTTGATGGCTTGTTTGTAAGATTTTCTAAAGCATAGACAGTTTTATTTAAGTTTCCGAAAAATGGTAATGATGATTTTTCCTACGTGCTCTGAGCTATCTAGGCATTGTTTCTATTGACACGATCATCGAGTTCGTCTGCAACGCTTAAAAATGTGGGAATATTAAGCAATTTTTTCTAACTATCTTTTTTTTCGTTTCATTGTTTTCGCTTTACAACGCCACTAGACACCTTTTTTATTTATAATTTTAGTTTTATAATGATCATGACACTGCAAAAAACATTTTTTTTTTTTTTTTTTTTTTTTAATGATTCTTTGCGTACTTAACACATCTTGGTAAATCTATTCGTAAGTGCTCGAGTATTCAGTGACCAGTGTGATCAAAATTTTAGAGTCTGGGCCTTTACATTTGAAAAACCCAACTTTTAATACACATAATTTCAAAGCTTTCTAGTTCGGCATTTATAAATAAAGGTTTAGTAATCCAAAGTGAGTTTCTTGTGTAGGTAAGTTGATTCATACAAAAGAACATACGCAACAGAACCGATTCAACAGAGCAGAAAGATTTCACGTTTGCTTGTGAATTTTAAAATACGTTCTATTACATTATAATGTATTTCTTTAACTGCTACTTTTATTATTTTTATACTCCAAATAAAATTGAATTTGTAACGATGGTGCCGTTCACTGACAACGTTTCAACATTTTTTCAATGACAGAGAGGAAGCTCCATGTAATTTTCAATAAAGGAGTGCTTGTGTGCAGCTGACCTTAACTAACAGTATGTAAACATGTGTCGTGTAGGGTAGCGTAGTGTAGGATTCTTCTCTGCCATCTGTATTTCAACTTAAGCTCCGAAGGATCCCTTTAATATAAGCTTGGGGCCCCACTGCACTGCGCTACCTAGCTCCCACCCCCCTAGTTACGCCATTGCCTAGAATTATCTATAGTCTTAGTCTAACAAAAAAAATGCCATTTCTTTTGATTTCATCCGTTTGGTACATTAACGATCTTATCTGAAAGTATCGTTCCATGTTACAATGTAACTGAAATTAATGAGGTACTTATTTTTTAGTGATGAAATTATAAGAATAATTAACATGATCACTTAGTAGATGAAATGAATGTTTGGAAAGTAACAAATACTTAAAAATTTAAGTACCTCCGGGATATGTATTGAGTACTAAAAAAATACAAAGAATTGACGTCGATGAAAAAATTGTGTTATTTGAATTTCTTTTATTGCATTGTAAGGAAATGTTACTTTTACTATAAGAATATTTCTCTCCCAAGCTACTCAATGGATTAATAATTGAGGATGTAAGATTAGTGAGTGAATGGAATCAGTTATCACACTGGATCCTATCGAGCTGGTAATTTGTTTATGAAATTGCAACATTTTGGGAGTGTAGTGAAGTCCCCTTTTCAAGCATGAATCGTTGAGAATTTCATCAATGTGTAGCCAAAAACATAATAAATTCCAACGTACGGGACACTTTATGTCCAATTTTTGTTATGAAAATTACCGTAACACTCACAGATCCAAAACTACATAAATTAAACGAAAAAAACCGTATATATAAGTGTAAGCGTAGTCAAATTAATACATATTTAATTTTGATTTTTAAATTTTAATGTACTTAGTATAATTCAGTTTTTCTTAAATTTTGTTTTACTAATGCTACTGCTAGGGCTTACAGGTTCTAGTCAGAACTCTCATTCATCTGGCACTTCTAGTAACAACAGTCCTTCTGCTCAACACGTTTTACAGCATCAGCAAATTCAACAGCAACAAATCCATTTACAACATCAACATCTTCAACATATTCAACAGCAACAGGTAACTATTGAAAACTGATTTTCAACTATAATAATTAATTTTTTTACTTATGCGCACGCACGCATAGATACGCACACGCATACAAATATATACACACATGACTAACTATACAAATTTTTTATTTGAAGTTTTAATGTTAATACTTTTTACCTTTTTATAATTTATACTTGATTTTAAGGGGCTTACTACAATCTTCTCCAACTCCAAACCACGCCTTCAGCTTTTTTCGAGCTCATAAACTTGCTGATCTAGGACGAATAGTAGAACTATTTGCAGTGCTGGGGTGTAGAATGGCACGGTTGACGAAGTTAGGAGAAAGACTAGTACAAATTACATTAAAAAACATAACCGTAAAAATGCTTGAAACATATCAATAAAATTAAATGATTATTTTTAATATAATGCTTATTAAAAACATGATTACAATAATAAACATATGACTTAAGAAATTGCAAGGGCTTCAATTTTTTACGAATCTAAAGGTTGACGGCAAAAACCTATGGTAAGGGCCGTTATGAGGTTCATAAAGAAGCCTTTTTAAACAAGTTTCGTATACTATTTTTCCACCTAAGATTCCAAAATCAAACGGTCAAGGTGCTGTTTTGACGTGAGAAGGCGGAAAATTCATAGAAAATTTTCTATTGATATTGAAGAATTTTAGAAAAAAAATTAATTTTCAGATTAACGTTCAAGTCTGTATTTGAGCTCAGAAAATATTTCTACTCTTCGTCCAAGATGTTCTCATAGTAGTAGTAAGCTAATACTTATTGTTAGCCAATAATAATCTGGGATTAGTGAAGTAAAACATTTTTATATTCTTTTATCCAAGCCTAAGAGTAGACAATATTTTTTGTCATAGGCATCGATGTGAACGTCAAAAAAAAGGAAAGACTACATATGATGTTCTCAGATTTTTGTACCGCTTTAATATCGATGGCTCGATAAATGACAGAGTCAACTCAAAAAATTAGTGAAAAAAATAGTCAACTCAGAATTGGCTTTAAAAAGAAGCCAACTCAGATTCGGGTGAAAGAAGCAGCCAACTCGAAAGTGATTTTTGATGTGAAACATCTTATGGCGGGCAGTGATCTACGAGAGGTAAAATATGCAACGAAAAGTCTGGTCCGCTCTTCCATTACAGTTCACCCTACCACTGTGGCACTCCCTCTCTCTCTACATACATACATACACACAGTGTATACGAATATGTACATACGTATACGGTAAAACTATAATTTAATATAACATGTATTCATATACATTACATATATATATATNCCCACTGATTGCAAATAAAATATTTATAATTCTTTTTTGGTCGTGGAAAAACGTTAATATCGTATTATAAGGTTGGTTTTGCTTATATCTTGTTAACGGTTGGAGATACGAAAAAAATAAAAACACCAGCGAGTGAGGTGGAAAATCTTCTATCAACAAGGACCTTCACTTTTGTTTTGACAAGCACATAGTGTTGAGAAAAAAACTGAAAATGTATTTCGACGGTATCCGCAAGAGTAAGTGAGATAAAGAGAGCTATCGATCATCTGCTGTCGCGCTCGCTGTCTCTATCGTACTTCTACAGGTATCCCTTCTTCATTGCTTTTCTTAACATGTAGCGCTTGTAGAAAATAATAAATCAATACTAGAATAAAGATTATTTATTTATCCCTTTTGAAAAATTTTCTTCTTCGTGAACAAAAATACAAAAATATTTGAAGTTTTTGTGAGATACATTACATTTAACAATGATAAATGATTCCAAATAACCAACCACTAAATATGTACTGCTATTGATGCAGTATTTGCTAGATTTTTAGATAATATTAAATCGGTGAAAATATATAATTTTTATTTTTCTTATAATAAGCTAACCCTTACAATAATAGAAAGTAGACTAGAAAATTCTACAGTTTCAATGGTTGAATGTCGTAATAACGGATAAGTTGAAACAATTTAATTTTCGTTTTGTTTCTATAACTATAATGTACTGTTGTACAAAGAAGGCTGATTTATTCCAAATAACATTTTAATTTCTTGTGTAATTGCAATTCATAATATGTTTGTGATATGTTGATAATTAGAAATAATATAAACATTATTTAATGTTTGCTTTTTTCTAACCTTTAATATTGACTGATACAAATACATATTCGTAAAAAATCGTCTTTTTAATATAAAAATATAAAATGAAGATTATGTACGGTGGAAAAAAAAACACTTTTTCATCATTGACATTCAAATACCACTAAGTTCCAGAACCGTCTCTGTCAATATTCTTCGTTTCCTTTGAAATATGGGTGGTAAAGTACGTAGAAAATTTGAAACTAATTCCTTTATTTCTAAGCCCTGTATTTAATAAAAATTTTATTTAAACGACAATAGAATTTTTTTATGAATTTTGGTATGAATAGTTATCGTACTCATTAATTTTCTCTTACATTTCCATATTTTTGAAAGTATATTTACATACATATGTTTGTATACAACATACAGTCATATTTATTCAGCGTTTTTTCTCCCCCTATGAGAACGGCCCACTAGTAAAGCATTCTATCAAATAAGAATAGTCTGTTCTATTACAACAATATAAATTATTTTTCTGAAATGTTGGATGACTGAAAAATCTATGTTTGTTTAGATAGGTATACCTATATTGTAAATGTCAGTGCTACCACGACAAAACTTGATGAAAAAGAACTACTCCCGAGTTGGCTGCTTCTTCATTCCAAACCTGAGCTTGATTTTTTGTCAAGCCAAAGCTGAGTTGACTACTTTTTCACCAATTTTCTGAGTTGGCTCTTTCCATTACCGAGCCGTCGATATATTGCAATAATGTGATTAAGCTTCTTACAGAAATTGGCTTTTTAGAAATTTTTACGAGACCTAAAAGTGTTAGCGATCGCCTTGCAAAAACTAGTGCGTATTACTTATAAATTACGAAAACAAACAGTTTTTATTGTCTCCGACACGATGATTACTTCCTTCGTGAAAAATATCACCATTTGCTTTTTCTTTTTTTTTTATAACGAGTAGTATCTAAAAAAATTAATAATTAGTTACTGATGCAAAAAAAATATAAATTTAAAAACGCTGCATCTTTTGAACATAAAAACAAGGTTGGTTAAATAACCAAACTTCTGTGATAATTATTACTAGAAGCCCACTTAGTCTAGGTGTCATGGTTCTTAGTTTAATCAAGGCTTTGCTACGTCTTAACTTTGATGTATGAAGGACTAAAAGTAAAGTAAAATAATTTTATACAGTTTAGTTAACTAGGGTTCAGATAAGAAATAAAACTTGTAAAAACTGATTTTTTTACTTTCAAGGCATAATAAAAAACTGTTCTTTGATACAGAAAAAGTAACTTGTATGAATATTAAAAATTACAGTGAAAACAAGTATTAGATTTGCATTGCTAAGGTATTAATATATTGTAAAACTTTGAGCAAAAATATTTTAGACTCTTAATTAAAGCCGTTTTAACATATTATTAATATGAACATTATAAACACTTTTTAAGAAAAACGTTTGAACTTTTTAATTATAGTAAGTTTCTAATCTACAGTTATTGGATTCCAAAAATAAAGCCGTACATTGACTTTGACAAGTGATGATTTCAATTCTTTCTATATCTTTAAAACAGTGTTATTGTATTGTCTTATTAGTGTATTCTAACGTTTATCTGTAAGCTCTACTAGCTGGCTTTAATTCTTAATATTCTGTAATCTATAAAAGCATTTTTAGTACATATTTCTCGCGTACCTTAGACATCGTTGCCCGGGCGTTACCTCTTCAGTCACCCAACCCTAAGCTTGTTGGAGTGGTAGTTTTTGTCCTCAGCGATCTTTATACCACCAACCTTAATTGGGAAAGTAAACACGTAAAAGTGAAAAAGGGGTATTGTAACTTGCAAAAAATTCAAAGGATAAAGTTTCTACTTCCGGAAATCTAAAAGAAATGTTTTTTTTTTTTTCAAAGAAAAATTTATTTGTTTTGATAATAATAAGAAAGTTTATAATTTTATACATCATAAATTATTTATTATCAAAAAGTTAAAGAAAGCAAATCACAAATTCTTGGAATAGTTGAGCACAAGATCAATTAATTACTAACTTTTTTTTAAAGCGTTAAGATAGCATTTTACAAAAAATGTTACAATAAGTAACAATGAAATGGCGTAGTTTTGTTGTTTATTAACAAAATAGTCACAAAAATCCGATTTTGTTTTTTTATTTTTTATGAAAAATTGGAAAAACTGTGAGTTGTACTAAAAAACATTACGTGTAAAAGTTATAGCTTACCCCATTGTCTACAATTTGAAAAAAAAGTTGCGTTATGACCAAGAATTAAGTTGCAAATAGCAAAAAACCAAAACTTCAGAATTTTCGTTTTTTTTTAACAACTATTGTTGCAACTGTTATACGATCCTAAAAATTTACAACGATGTGGTACACGTTATTTAAAAGTAAATATCTAAAGATAATGACGATTTACTGAAAAGGTACTGAACAATGTATGTTGCACCTAAAAAAATTAGCTAATTTCAGTTTGTCGTAAAATTTTTTTGGCTATCGTACATAACCGCCCTTAATTTATTATCCTTGGGTAATCACATACTAAAAAATGAAATAACAAATTTTGCGTTTCTTCATGATGAATGTCTTTTTTGTAGTGAAAATTATTTGTAGTTAAATTATCTATCAAATTAATTTTACAGAACTGGATAATACTTATAGTTAAATTTTTGGGCCACAATATTACAGTAGTTAAGGATGCAGTTTTTGTAGTCTGGCGTATTTCAAGTGTGGTTCAATGGTTTGGAAGCTATGTAAGATAAGGCCCCTTTGTTGTGCAACTGGTTGATATGACAATTTAAGTCCGAGGTGGTTTTTCGCTATGCCAACCATGGTAGCATATGTATGCATAGTAATACAGCATTGCCCAGCCTCTTGTGCACTGTTCTCAGAAATGCCTGCGAGTATTAAAAAAAAAAAAAAATT